ATTTTGACTAAAAGGTGTAAGTTCAATAATATGGAATCAGAAGTAATTGGTAGAGAAAATATGTTATTATAATCGATGACTTGACTAATATTTTCAACCATTATTGGTGGTAATACATTTTTATCAAAATTAGAAGGTGTAATATTGGTTTGTTTGAAATTCAATTGAAATATCTTTTTGTCGTGGCGATATTGTTTGGTTTTTGTTTCAGTGTTTTTGCTCAAATGAAAGAAAAATGGATGGTCTTTCATTGCAACAAATTGGTTTATAAGTTTACCTTTTTAAGTTCATTTTTGGTTTCAATTTGATTTGAACGTTTGCAAATTAACAAATGTTTTATTATATATGTAAAAACCCAATTAATTGGGTGTTGTATTGTTACCATTATTATTATGTTGTAAATTATTGATTTTTAATTTAAAGAATAAACAAACTCCATATTTTCTCGACTGTTTTTTGTAATAACAAACTTAAATTAATTTACACTGTTTTTTGAATGAAAGGAAGTGGTTTTCAACGGATAATATAAGTTTATCTTTAAAAATATGAATTGGAAAACTGAAGCAATATATTAAAATGTTTTTCTGTGGCAAAACAAACAAAAATAATTATAATTGTATTATATCCCGTAATTACTGATCAAAATTCCACATTATTTATATTTTTGTTTATATTTTTTTATTTGTAAATTGAAATGCCACATAAACTGGTGGCTTCTACAAAACAAAAATGCACATCTGATTAATCCGTTTTTTTCAATAGCAGATAATGCTTAAAACATTGGTGACGTGGCGGTTTTTAAAAATCGTTGAAATGAAATAACATTCAAATTAACATAATAAAAAAGATTTAAAAAACGGGAAAAAACCCAAATATAAACTACACAAAACTTTTCATTTTTTGTAAATTGCTCTATTTCGGGCTGACAAAATTGACTACCAAAGGTATATGTATAACACAACCACCTCCCCAACACAAAAATTTATAATTTTTTTTTCAATTCAAATAATGTTATAAACCACAATACCCGGGTTTAACCACAATGGGGTTTTCAGAATTTTACATGTTCTTCGTCCCCACGTCCATCCTTTTTTATATATTATTCTGTATTTTTAGTTAAAATAAATATGACAACCATTTAAATGATATATTATCAATTTTCGAATGTGTGTATATTAATATGGTAAATAATATATTAATTATATAGATATAATAATTATATAATAATAAACTTATATCATATTTTGATAATACCATTCTTTTGAAACAACCAATGTAACAATATTGGAATTGTTTTGGAAATATTCAAAAATGACTAAATTTTTCAAAATGTCTACACTTTCTGGTTATCACATCATGATAGTCTCGAAGTACTTCGACGACATCGGAGACTTCATTAACTTGGAGTTGGTGTGCAAGAAGTTACGAGATAATATGGGAAAGTTTCATTATAACCTAATTTCGTTGAATTTTAAAACACTTAGATACTTCCCAAAAATCGAGACACTTCACTTGTGTGATGTAAAAGATGAAAACTTTGGCAATGGATTTATGATCAACACAGAGAAAAATGAAGAAAAAAATTGTTTTAAAGGAAAAGTTCTTTTGTATTATTGTGTGGTTCAATGTTGATTTCGAAACTGTTGAAAAAAACAAAAGTCGAAACATTAAGTTTAAAAATGTTACTTACACTCAAAATGATAGAGAGAAATTTGGTAATAATATACCACGAAATGTAACTTCAATTGGTAATCGTTGTTACTGTGGATGCATAACTTTAAGTAGTATTAACATTCCATCCAATGTAACATCGATAGGTAAAAAATGTTTCTATAATTGTTTTAATCTAAGCAGTGTTACAATACCATCAAGTGTTGTATCATTTTGTAATAGTTGTTTCTATGATTGTTTTAGTCTGACTAGTATTACAATACCATCAAGTATAATATCACTTAATAATAAGTGTTTCTGGGGATGTTGTGGTCTGCTCAGTGTTACAATACCATCAAATGTAAAATCAATTGGTTTTCAATGTTTCCATAAATGTGAAAGTTTGAGCAGTGTTACAATTCCGTCAAGTGTTGTATCAATTGGTGATGATTGTTTCGGTGGGTGTAGTAATCTAAGCAGTGTTTCAACCATCGAGTGTTACATCAATTGGAAAATATTGTTTTCCACCAGAAATAATAATTTATCGAAGTTAATTTAACTTTTAGGAGTCTAAAAATTTGTTCATATTAAATATTCATATAACTGTCTATATAGTTTTCAAAAACCAAAACGGGTGTAAAAATTACTGATATTTATACTACAGTTCAAATTTAACCCTCTGAGTTCGATGTCAAACTTTGACAAATTGACTAATTAGATTTTTTTGTCCAAACATTATCCGTCACAATAGACAACAGTGCTGTTGTTGTAAAAAAATGGTTGGGCGAATATTTTGTTTTGTAAAATAATAAACACAACACAAAAATTCGACAACAAACAACTTGAATTTCTGTAAAAAAACTACAAAACAAATCATAATCAAAAATAACATTACGCTTGACAGATTTAAACATCTAATTGTAGTTTTATAGTCGAGCAAAAGCCGTTTCAAAGAAATTGTTTTAGTTGTATAAACGTCAATTCGTTATTCTAAAGAGTACATTTTATAAGTTGAAAAAATACTTTGGTTTAAAAGAAAAATTTTACAAGTGAATGATCTACATAGAGATAAAAAAACGTTTCGGTTTTTCTAATCACTTCCTGTCGTCTCAATAGTGATAAATAATTTAATTATAATACAAAATATAATACAAATAACAACCTCAAACAGAAAAAAGCTCCAAGGGCATATTCACCTAAATGGTAAACAGTACCATACATTTTAATGAACATGAAAGTGAAAATATTAGTGAACTTGAAGATAAAAATATTATATAAAATCATTATTATTTTGAGCGAAGCATCGACACATCTATTAGATGTGGTGATAATGAATCAAATGAAGAAGAGATAAATGATTATGTTTATTATAATGAAGAAGATAATAAAGTAGTAGCTAATTTAAATTGTGGTTATACTAAATTTGAATCAAGAATTAACAAATTCAAAGAATATTTCGTTTTTAAATGAATTCAAAAGATGTGTTCATGAATGCTTAGAAAAATTCTAAAGGAGAAGCAAAAATGAAAAACTATTTTGAAACCGGAAATTTTACCCCCGAGGCTTGGACGGGGAGTTTTCCACTAGAAATTATTGTGGAATAGAAGAATGACCGAAACGTTCTTCAATGATTTGTTTTGCTTATTTAATTCCTGATATTACCGTAAAACAATTAATAATGTTTGAAACCCCCTTTTTTAATATAAACAAATCTAAAAAATGTTTATTTAATATTTTTTGTTAAAATTGATATTTAAATAAAGTTATAATATATAGTTGTATAATAGTTGTTTTGTTATATTAAAAAATTAACTTTATATAAATGTTAAATGAATAAAAAGTATATTAACGGGATACCAATAACATTATATAAAGATAAAAAGTGTTAATAATAACATTTTAAAACAAAATGTTATTATTATGAATACAAAAAAAATATTTATTAAGTTTATTTTTTACAATTATGTTTTATTTGTAAACTGTTTACATTGTATATCGATTCTAGTAGTTGTTTAAATCGTTTTTTAATTAATTCTAATTACCAATTATAATAATATTTATTTAATTTAACAATTTAAAGAAATTTAAATACAAAGTATATCTATATTAACATTGAAAAACAATTTAAACTGAACCCACCATAACAACAATTCAATTACAAACATAAAATTTAATAATCTTATTATTTAATTGAACATATTAAAATAAAAATTATGGGAATTTATTTATTATAAACACTTTTAATAATATTTGTAATTAGAAATGATGGCTTCCATAATTGAATTGGATCATTATTAAAACAACAACAATAAATAATATATCAATTGTTAAACAGTTTTTTGTCATAGTAACTCATAAATATAAATAAATGTCAACGCAACCAAGTAATTCCAATGTATCTTTAAATGATGATCCCCAGGCTGATATGTTTAAGTTGAGTATGACATTTAAACCAGTTTTGAAGTGGTTTTCAACTCGAGATAGAGACTTAAAGCGTCTTCATTATTGCCCCTTTTGTGACGAATTTTATGGTGATAAATACAAAAAACACCTTAATTATCACATTGATAAAGTGAGAGTCAATTATCACAGAGAATTGAACCAAAATCAACTTGTTCCATTTTTAATGCACATATTAAACACTTGAATTTTTTTGCAATGAATTCTATCATGACAATTGAAAACACCTACACTCCCACTCTTGTTGGAATCTACTACAAAGAACTTCAAAAAGCTCTGAACAAATGTGGTATCACAAGAACAACTTTACAAATGACAATTGATCAATTAAATGAAAAAGCCAAAGTAATTGATCCAAGTCTTTCTATAAAACCACACACTTGTTATAAATTTGCTGTTTTTAACTTGGAAGGCAACGAACGTGTCAATACTACAATTGCTGAGGACTTATCAAATACATCTTTAAACACAGTGGGTTTTAGTGGTTCTAGAACTGGTGAAAATGTCAATATTTTAACATCAACAGACCTACCAGGAACTGGAAATAGTTTCACAATAACTCCACAACTTTTCATTAGAATCATAGTGCTTCATACCAAAACACCAATGAAGTGCAACAAATAAATGTTGCACAAAAAGAAATTGATTCAAATCAAATAGTTGGTAATCAAATTGTAACAATACAAGGAACACGAACTCCTGTCATTATTGGCAACTACGAAACTTAAGATGAGTCGACGAATGTTAATAGTGGAGAAGTAGTTGACCATTCACAAATTGACACTGAATACACTGAAAACGATGAAGAAACATTCGAACAACACAAAGCATCAATCACATGTGATGAAGAATCTTCAAGTGTTGAAGAACACCCACTTGAACGCCTTGATGATTTGAGTTCTGAGGAAGAGAAAATGACTAGCATACAAAGAGTTGAGAATCGTAATAAGAACAAAAAAGATTGACATGTATTTTAGAATTAATTGAAAGAACAAACACGATAAAAGAAGACAAATGCCAGATTATGATAACAGAAATAACAAACAAAGTGAATACGGAAAACACAAACAAAGATCAAAAAGAAAGGAATAAACTTTTCCGAAATTGTTTCATTTGTCTGTTGTCGGTGTATTTTTCTTATTTGAGTCTAACGACTTTTCAAATAGAAAAAACACTTGAAGTGATGCAAATTGTTGTGGGTTGTGGTGGGTTTGAAATTGATCTTAAAATGTGCGCCAAAACCATCCAAAGACGTATTACTTTGATGCGAGATTTAGATAAAACAATATTATTTGAGATGTCACTTGATCACACTAAAATACATTTGATATGCGACAGCACAAAACTTAGAGGTCGAGAAAAGTTTTCTTTGTATGCTCGCACATTGTACACCAACAATAACCCATCAGAGGTTAAAATCAAGATTGGTAGTTATTATGGTGACACAACAAGCAATGGGTGGCAAATTTGCGTTGTGAGGGTACTGCACCGTTATCACATCTCTTTGAGCCAAATAGTTGGCGTCTCTGTTGATGGGTCAAACAACATGACGAAATTGGGACGTCTTTTGAAAGCGCTTGTGATTAGTCACACAACTTCAAAACAAGCTAGAAAAACATCTTGTGTTCTGTTGAATGAGCAGGTGGGAACGAGAAAGCAGTTTATATCAGACACGCACCAACATTCAAGTTCTCAAAACACTTTTCAATCTATTCAAATTAATGGTTATTCTCAAATTTTAACACTTTCCAATCTGGGTATTTCCACCATTTTTCAAGAATTCACCTTACAACAAATAACTGTTAATTCTCAAAACAACAATTGTGAATTCAAATACAATTATTGTTTTTGCCATCGTTTTTCTAAAGCACAAGAAAAAATATTCGAAATAAACGAGGGAGATTTAATAAAGCAATTCGTCAAATACAATTCAGATCAAGGAATAAGAGGGGATTGGAACAGTTACATTAATAGAAATTGCATTCAAAGTGTTGCATTACAAATACGTTATTATTCAAATACACGTTTTTGTTATACCGAACTTATATTATGTTTTATTTTTGAGCGCTTTGATGTTTTCAAATCTTTTATAGATCAAAACAAAAAATTCCAGTTTGTTACCAATACTCAAAATATATTATCGAACTCACTTGGAAATGCTTCATTTGACAACAACAAATTTGTTGGAGCTCTTTTTTTCGTAGAATACATTTTTTTTTCTGAATCAAAACTGATAACTGAATGGCTACAAACGCCAAAACTAGTTCGCGACAGCTTTTACTCGTATTCAAAGATATATAAATTATCTTTTTCCCTTAAAAATAAAGTATATGATAACAATATCGATTTTCTTGCCACACTTCCTTTTATACGTGAAAACACTGTAGATGATATTAAATTTCTCAGAAGTGTTTGTGGTGGTTTTATAGAAAGATTTTTGCAGGCGCTTGTTTATCGTTTTGTAAATCCATTCAGAAAAATGTCTCGCTGTGAAATGGGTAATGGTATTTCGATACGAGAAAAAGACTTTCAAATTGATAGCTTTGAAGAGTATTTAAATTTATACAAAGCAAAGACCCCACAAGAAGTTCGAATGAAAATTGAGGCATGCATCATTCCCAATGAGCTTCACGATAATTTATTTAACGAAGAGTTGTTGACAGAAATTATACAAGTCAAACAGTGGAAAGATCACAATATCAACTTGTTTTCTCATTTAAGAGAATTGCAAAAAACACAAAAGTACGTATCTCCAAATATTAAAACCACTGATGATATAAGAAAAATTTTAGTAACGAATCGAAACACCACTAGTCACTTCATTAAACAGTGGGTGTTTGACTGGGATTTTGGTGAAAGTGAGTCGTTTAATAACATTAATAACGACCAAATGCAAATTCTCAAACAGCGTTACAATTTTCGAGCATGGAGAGAAGACCACCTCAATGATTTTCTTGTTGTCTGTCCCGAAGTGTTATTGACAACATAAAATGTTTTAGATATTATACCCAAAGAATTATGTTGTGAATTTCGTTTAATTAATTCAATTATCAGTGAATACAACTTGATTGCTGTTACTACGTGCTCGGTTGAAAGGTCTTTTTCGATTCTTAAAAGAGTGAAAATGTGAATATGACAATGAAAGAGGATGAAGTCAGAATGTTTACAGTCAACAAGTTTTGTAATAAGTAAAAGTTGTTATTAGTATTATTATTATTTAACTATTATTTATTTGTATTTTTATTAACAATTTAACTATATTAATTATTTTATGTTAAAATATATATTGAATTTAACCATAAAAAATTAAATATCATACACATTTAAATTGAATTGAATTAAATTAAATATAATTAAATTGTATAATAAATATGTATAATATAAATATAAAACATTACAATATCTAAAACGCAATTATAACAACAAAAATAAATATTATACCATTTATCCATGTTAAAATAACTGTTTTTCCCAAAAAACAAAGTATTAAATAGAAGATGTAATCAAATGAAAATGTAGATGTTTAATTAACTG